AACAATTCTAGACACACAAAAAAACCCAGAGACGAAGACCGACTTGCTTAACTGCCTGTTAATCTGACTGTTATCACTTGCTGGCATGCACAGAGCAGGAAATCAGCAGGATGCTGTCAATTACAATTACGTGAATTGCATAATGGCAGTGGCAGAGCCGCAGCCAGAGGCATGCAGGCCACAAGGTGGCATCACTTTCCACGTAGCCGAGCTGCACATTAGCTTTCATTGGGCAATTGTCTTGGAATAGATATAGGCATGGCAGCCAGCAGGAAGAGTGGAATTCAAAGAATACTCAGGAAGAGAGCCGCAGTAGCAGAGATCTCTCTCTGGGGCGACACGCGCGGCATAACGCAAGCGGAACTGATCACTTAAGGGTGCCCCCATGGCCAGGTGTGGGGGGAGTATCTAATAATAGCCAGAGGCAAGGGGTACGCACAGCCTAATTATATACGGGAGAAAATGCAGTTCCAGCTCTGGCTTCCAACGACGATCTTCCATTGTGTTTCCTCCCATTCTTTCCGATGGAAATGCATTTCCATGCAGGCCACTAAAACGCTTTGATTGGAGGGTGCACACAACTGATTTATGGCTCCACTCCGCCCCCACAACACGGCGGCTTGTCATAAAGATTATGCATTAGAAGAAAGCTCAAACCTTTGGCTCATTAAAAATTCAAATATAAATATGTTACGGTAATATTTTGTGGCCGGAAAAAGAGTTTAATTTGGAGATGGAGATGTGTAGAATACTCGTAGATTGAGTGGTCAAGAATGCTTTCACTATCCCTTCGTGGAGGGCCGCTGGGGCATGCCTCGCTGGTCAACGAAACTGAAATATTTCGGTAAAGTGTGCCACAGCCACCGCAGTGTCGAGACTTTAATTATGATGCGAATACGAGTCTAGTATGATGCCCACTAGCCACGCACAGTGCGCGTCATATGTGTATAGTTAATTGGGTTCTGTCTGTCCGTGAGTGTGTGTGTGGAGCCTGGGGCCCCAGGCCTGCTCTGACTGGTAGGTAGTTCTATTTTATTCATAAGCACATAATTATGTTCCAGAGACGCTCTCGAACTTGGGGGTCATTCAACTCCCGATCAATCACTCTGTTAGAGACCCTCGATTCTTCTTTTGTTCGTGGCTCGCCTTTCTATAAATTTCTTTCAAGATCTACCCCATGGTATGTATCTGTGTGTGCGCATTACGCGGTTTCGTGGCTAATTAACAGCGCAAAAATACCTTTTCAATGCCCTGTTTGTCCCAGGGTCTCGCTTAGAAATGCAAATTACCAAAACTCTGACTCTGACTCTGACTAAAGCGGAAAAGGCAGCAGCCGAAACGGACAAAGAACAGTGAAGGGAAGTTCTTTGTTCGGATCCGGTACGGATTCTCTATCTCAGATGCTGCCAAATGTCTAATTAAATGGCAACGATTTGGCTTTAGTGCAATTTGCGTTGACTCGAATCTCTGGCCCGGTCAAGGTGAAAGTTGCGACACCTGCGACACGGGCAGCCATGACAGATTACCCTGCTTTTGCAGCCACCAGCCGACTCCAGCTCTGAATCTTTTTGACAAATTAATTGTGCGGCTAAGCAGCAATTTGCAGCAATTTGCATGCCTCCGACTGGAAAGCCGCCTCTGCTGCAGTGTCAATGCCTTAACTAAATTGACTGCAACTTCATTTGCGACTGCGACACACCCGCAGGGAGGGAGCGATGTGTAGCCAAAAGTTTTCTGCTCCATTGAAGCATTCGATTGAGAGGCCCCAAGACATGCCCGTTGCCTGCTGCCTGTAGAAAGTTGCAGCAGTGGCAGCAGTGGCAATGACACACTGTGCGTCGCATCTGCATTTGAATTGCATTGGGGGCTTTGGCTTTGGTCACTTAACGGTTAGCAGAGAACGGCAACGGGTTTTGTGCCACCGTCCATCTACAAGAAGGTGTCATAAGCGCGTATTCATGGGATCAGCAGAGGTACCTCTATGTATCTTTACGAGAAGTTGTGGAATTCCAATCATTTTAATTATTACCATGGTCCATGGTCCATGGTCCATGGTCCATGGTCCCCCCCTCGGCTACGCCTCTGCGCTGTGCAGCCGCCTCGAAGAGTGAGTTTTTAGAACCGGTTAACTGTTTTCTGATGACACTTACAGTTATTTTCAAATAAAAGCCATCGCGAGCTCTTCGCTTCGACTGTGACTTATGTAAAAATCTACGAATTCGAAAGCCAAACAGACTGCAAAGCCAATTTACAGACAAATATGAAATTATTGGTGTTGGAAAGCAATAAAAAAAAGCCTGTAAACTTAAATACTTAAAACAGTAAAAGAACAATTTTACTTGAAAGTTTTAAGAGTTTATGCTTCCATAAATCTGCAGTGGTAGGGGGGTTTCTAGATAAAAACAAGTTCAGGGAATAAGCACACATTTAAGCGAAAAATATGTATACTAAAGACTTTTTTGAGTATATTCAGGCGATACTCGTTTTACCTTGTTCCTACTTGAAAGCACTGCCAGAACCATTCGGAACATGTGAGTCGAGGTCCACGTTCCGCGACGCTAACATACCCGGTACTCATATTATTTGCGTACTTGAGGAATTGGTGGGAAGCCACAGAGAGCAACAGAGTCTGTTGAGATAACAGAGCAAGCAGCAGCTCCAGTAACAGAGCAATTAATAGAGCAAGCAACGGAGCAAGTAACAGAGCAAGTAGAAGAGCAAGCAACAGAGCAAGCAGCAGCTCACGTAACAGAGCAAGCAGCAGCTCACGTAACAGAGCAAGCAGCATAGCACGCAACAGAGCAAGTAACACAGAGAGACTAGAAGCGGTCGTAGAACAAAGAGAGGAGAGAACCCCCAGCCTCAGCGATCGACGTCAATTAATTCGTCAATTAATTATTTGTACTCAGCACAGCGACCATTGCAATCATAACCAAACTTAAATAATATTCATAAAAAAGACAAAAAAGAACATCGGAAAACCCGGGGCCCCATGGGACCCTAAAAGGATTGGTTCAAAAGCTCATTTCTCTGGCATTTAATAGTGCTTGAAAGCCAGGTGTTCAAAGAGTTAAACGACAAATAAGCCAGAATACATACAAATCTATCTAAAATCTAGCTATCATAATGAACCTATGGTTAAATATTGTCTTCAATCTAGTAGTTAAGAGCCTTCTTTACGGTTTTCCATTAGCAAATGTCTCGTATCTTCCAAGTTTTGTGGAATTTCTGCCACCTTCCAAACATGTCTTTAAGCTTTTTCCTGCTGTTTCCATTAAGCTTAGTCGAAACATCTTTGGGGACTGTGCTGGAAGATAAAATACTTTAATTTTCGTGAAGACCAAAACAGAACAGACTTCCATCAACAGCCGTCAAAGCTGTTTATAATCCATTTTCTGTTTTGGGAGGCATAATCCCCTTCCTGCTTGAGTGGCAGCATTTCGTCACCCACTTTGACCTTTGATGGCGTGAATGCAGCAATAACCAGATCTGGGAACAAGGCATTAACCTGGCGTGGGCTCTCCGGCCAGTCATCTCCAGCGCCATCATCAGCTTCAGCTCCACCTCCATCCCCATCCGCATCTCCATTTCCAGCCCATCAACATCATTGCTGTCGCCGGTCGCCGGTTGCTGTCGCCTCAACGATGAATGACAATTTTGCAAATGGCTTTGGGTGCATAATTTATGCAGATGCAACTGCAACGGCAACGGCAACGTTGAGCTGCAAAACTGGCAGCATTTAACGCGTTGACTATTAAGGCGAACTTGTTATGCCACCGAGGAAAAGGGAGATGGAGATGGAGAGGTGCCCCCAGCAGTGGCAGTGGCAGCGGCAGCGGCAGCATCGCCCATGCATATTCAAACGCCATAATCCCAACGGTATTTTAATGCTAAATGCTTACTCACTCACAGACAGAGAGAGAGAGGGAGAGAGAGAAAGAGAGACGAGAAAAACCCGTTTTTCCAGTAATGACCTTCGGTGTTGTTTTATTATCACTCCCGCTTCCGCTACGCCCCCTGTGCCCCCCTCTCTCCAAAACCGACTCCATTTGGAGCTCTCTTGGAAATTCCGTTGAATCCCATAACAAAAGCCAAAAGTTTATGTTCTACCGAACGAACACAAAAGTTCTGTTTCTATCCTCTGCTCTAACCACGTTCGGGCCCCACTCCCATGCCGGCTAACACCCATTCCGGCTAACACACATTCCGGGCAACACTTGAATGGATTTGCCAATATTTCAGCCACAAGTGGAATTTCTCTCGAAACTAATTATCTCTTCAGAGAATTACCAAGAATTAAAAGTCACTTTCGAATCGGTATCAGAGTCAATAAGCGATAATGTTGCACTTGGGGGGAGGGGGGGCCATTCTCCGTTCCACCTGCAACTGTCATATTGATTGCCATTTGAGTTTCAAACGCTAAATATGCAAATAGATACAGGTCTAAGGCGGCCTTGCAGCGGTCACACTTTGCGAGACACAATAATTGGCATTAAAAAATGAGATTTACAGCCAATCCCCAGAGTCCAGTCTAGAACAAGTGTGCCATAAAAGCCAGCCACTTACCACTTGGCCAGGTTAACCTTGATGAACAAACTGTTCTCTCTCTAGTGCTCCGACTGCAACTTGGTCTGCGCCCAGACCGGCTCCCAACAGAATGACAATAAATATTTTCGTCTGGGGAGGACTGGGGTGGAGTGAGGTGTGGGGGGCGGTGTGGGCTGTGGGGCTGATCGATTAACTGCCCCGAAATGCCAGGCACTTGAGAGCTGGTTGCAGCTCATGAAATATGAGCTCGACGTGCATTGAATTCGGGTCATTGGTTGGCCAAAACCCAACCGATGGGGGGGGATAGCCGGCGCCTTAAAACATTTTGTAATTCGATTTTGAGCGCGCGCGCTCGCCTGCCGGCCATTGAACTGCCACCGATTGACGACAATCTCAAACTCAATGTTTTATGTTTTCTTTTCTTACGGATTGCTTAATATCTCCCTTTGCAGAGAGGAAAAACCGGACAAGCCAGCCCGTGAGCCAATCGATAGAGAGAGGGAAAAACGTGACAGTGGGGCCAAAAGTTCAAGCAGGTAAGAGGGAAATTTTTCACACAGAATGCAAAAATGCGTAACCGAAACGTAACTTGGTAAGCGCCGCTGTTGTTGGCTATCTATAATTTACACTTTCGTTGCATGTACAGCAAAGTGGCAGTGGCATGCCAATTGGCAGGGCTCCCATCCCATGCCACACAAAAAAAAGAAGAAAAAAAAACACTGGTAATTCGAGGCGACTAACAATGTGTTGTCAGGTGTAGAGAGGCACTGGGGATGGGGATGGGTCCCAGGCTCTGGCCAACACCAGGAAGAAATGCAACCACATTGCTGTCTGGCAATTGACTGGAAATGGCATGCAAAGATTGCAAAATGCAACTTGTCGGAGTAGGAATAGGAATAGGAATAGGCCAAACAATGGCTGACGGGCCTAAACGGCAACATTCAATCCATTGTGTCTTTAATTATGAACTTTAATTGCTTTAATGTGTGTGTGTGTGTGTGTTAAATGAAGCACAAATTATGCGAATGCCAATGAACTCTTCCTCCAAGAAAGTTTCTACAGATCATATAGTATATCTAATGCCAAGATAAATCTAATTTCATAGAAAATTTATTGTACAACTTGGCCATAAAAAGTGTAAAAAGAGAGGCCACTCCATTGTGGCGTCACAATTGAATAGATTTTCAGATTTACTTTTCTTCAAGTTAGAAACAAAAGGAAAAACCGGCCAAAAACAAAATCCCCAGCTGCCACAGTGCGGCAGCGTTTAGTCTGAGAGATTTGCTTTCGAATGATGGCAGACAATAAAACTTTCCATTTCTAACAAAATTACGGCTACACTCCGGGCCAAGACCAAAACGGTAGGAAAGACAGAAAAACAGACGAGGAGGAGGAAACAAAGCAAGACAAATTTATCCACTTATCTGATTTTGTTGTACTCATCTCTCATTTCGCTTGAAAGAGAATTTATTTTACGGGAATTTCTCTTCTATTTTTAAACCCAAGAGTGGCATAGTATTTCTTGGGGTATGATGCATGCAACAGGCACAAAAAGACACTTAATGAGTCCCACATTTAGCTCAAAGATTGGTTATTCAATGGGTATCCCCTGGTCGAATTGTTTTCATAGCTGTCGCTGTTCCACGCACTGTCTGTCTGTCTCCCCTGTGACTCCATGGAAAATCTTTTGTAGCAACAACATCATAAATGTTGCATGTCAGGGCACACCATTCTCCAGGTGACATGTTGCACACGTGTGCGCCCGCCCGCTGATTTGTGGCACCGCGTTTATGTGGCGGAACTGTTTATTAATTAATGACCGCATTTCGGGCCCTGATTCTGTTGGGTTTCTCTGCTGCTGCTTTTTAGTGGGTAGCCAATTATTAGGTGCTAAATTGTTGGCCCAGCAAATGGGTTAAATGAGCCCCTGGCATGCAACATTCTCAATCAAATGGCGGAGCACTGGCAGTCCTCCCACTCCTCCTCCCACGCCTCATGCTACTCCTGAGAAATGTGTGGAGATCTCTAAAGGAGGGGGAAATGTCACTCCACATTTATCGCCATCTGTTGCAAGCCTGTTGCTGCGACTGCGTTCCATTTTAGAGATGGAAATGGACTGTGATTTTCTGCGGATTCGTGCTGCAAGACCATCGGGGAGATATTTCTACTGCAATTTTTATGATTTATTGCAACCACTTTAGAGCATGAATTTGACTCACGAAAGCGAGCATTTTGGACCACTTTGTCTTCTTGTAAGACGACGATCGAGTACTCCCTCTCTGTGAATTACATTCCACTCAGAACATGCCTTGAGTTACGACTTTATAATATAGTAGAGATCATTGAAGGAAAGAACTAAAAAATTATACAATTTTATTTAATTTTTTAATACACTAAAAAATAAAAATTGAAATTTATTTCTGATTTTAATAATAATAATACATTTTTTCCCAATATTATTATTTTTATAAAAATAATAAAAATCAAAAAGGAATTTTAATTTCCATTTTTTAATTTTATCTATTTTTACAACAATTAAAGAATTAAAAATATTATTTTTTTATGATTTTACTAATAAAAAACAGAAAAAAAAATTTTTAATATATTAAAAAATTAAATTAAATAAAATTATATAATTTTGTAGTTTTTACCTTCAATAATCTCTACTAAAGTATATATTTTTAAAATTAAAAAAGTTGTTATCATAAAAATTATAATTCTTACGTTTATTAGTCGTGAGTGTACGATCCTGAATTGATCCGTTGTGGACCATCTCTAATGGTTTTTATCTAATGGCTGCCTGTCAAAATGATAATGGTTTCTTGTGTGCGGCTGCCTGCCGCTAGATGGCGATCCGCGATAAGCAGCTGCCACGAGAGAGGCCCGAGTGGCGTGGAATGCCTCAATTGAAAACTGTCAATTGTCGTGGCCACATGCCACTCCACTCCTCTTTGGCTATCTCTTGGCCATTTTCGGTGTAGGCGCAACAGTGAAAGTTGTGGCCATGGCCAGAGGCAGATGGTGATGGGGGCCCAAAGAGAGGGGTGGGTGGGGAGGCCGGTCGAGGGGGTAATTAATGCCAATTAAATGTCAAACAACGGGAAAAACAAACAACTTTTGTGCTGGGCGTGTCCCTGGTGGCAGTAGCAGCGGCAGAGAGACAGCAATTCCATTCCATTATGCTGACCAAACTTTCAAAAGGCTGCACTGCACTGATTAATTAAAACCAAGTTCAAACAGGGGTTGGGGTTGGGGTTGGGGTTTCGGTTGCAGTTCAATTGATTTAATTTCCCACGAGCCTGCCTTCAGCGTTCAGCGTTCAGCCATCAGGCCCGGATTCCCCCAGCTTTCTACCACGAAAACAAAAGAAGGAAAGCGCATATTGCCCCCAAGTTGCAACGTCGCTTGACTGTGTGTGTGTGTGGTAAGAGCTAGGAAAAAGTTATTTATGATTATTTAATGCATGCCTTGTGCGGCAGGTTCATTGCCCAAAGACAAGACTCGACGCGACTCGACTCCACTCGCCAAATGCAAATGCAAATTGATTTGCGCGCTTTGCCCTGCAGTTGAACTTACGTCAGCCGAAGACACCAATCTGCCCCCCTGCCCCCTGCCCCCTGCCCCTGCCACAGTCCAGCAGCACAGACCCAAGCCCTGCCATAGCACCTCTTTCTCTTAGCATTTTTCTCGCTGTCTCTGCTAATTGCTTGTCGCTGTCAACATGTTGCAGTTGTGCCGCTGCTGTTGTCACATCTTCCATTGAACTTTGAACTTGGCTCAGGCCCCACAATGGCTTACTGACTTTCTTTTGTTGTGCTGCCACATGTTGCCACGTCACTCATCAGAAATGTGTGTGTGGGCTTCTGCTGTCTCTTTTGTGCTAGTCTGGCCTTGCAATGCCACGCAGCCAGCACTGCATCTGTGCGTATACGTAATATTTGCAAGACCTTTTCTCACAAACAATTTCAAAGCATAGATTGGTGTTCTATTCCACAGTACATCAACTCGTACATGTATTTGCCTTTCAGGTCTCTCAAAGTCTGTCCATCGGCTGTTTGTTTGCCTTTTCCAAATGCAATACAGTTGTCGACCTTTGGCATACAATTACATGGGCCTTTCGGCAGACCGGTAGACCGGCAGACCCTTCTCCTCCACGGCACAGCCCCCGCCTAGACATTCGCTTTAGACCGGTGCCAGACATCTGTGTGTGTTGGCTGGTTGCTCAACCCAAATTGGCAACTTGTTCTCGTCTCTCTCTTTAGACTTAGTCTCGAATTGCACAGCTTTTATGATTTGTTGCCTTTGCTTTGGTGGTATTTCATTCTAAATTTGCAATAAAAGTCACAGAAACAGCATTAAAAATACACAAAAACCCACTGCCACAAAAGGTCTCCAGATGACTGAAAAGTGTTCAACAGAGGAAACAGGTAGTTGAAGCCGTACCGAAAACCGAATTGTTCCTGGGCGTTTATTGTTCCTGGCCAAGATTGGACGCTTGGAAACCGGAAAGCCTGGGCCCCAACTCCTTTGCAGTTGCAGCTGTTTGGTAGCCACAAAAAAACTATGTTCCTGCTTCGTGCATGACTCATGGACAACACTGCAACATGACTTGAAGCAGGAGTTGTGGCTGGAGCTGCGGCTTGACAGGCGAACAGGCAACAAATGGCGCTGGCCAGCAATTACAAATTGGCCAACAAATTGGGGGAATGTTGAGCCCAAGCCCCCAAAAACCAAATTATCCCACGCAACAGGTTTTTCTTTTTATTTGGTTTCTAATGTGATCAAATGAGAAGTTCTCAAAGACTTTGTATGCCCCATAAAACATTTTAACAGCGGGTTATTAAAAATTATGCCAAAACTCTAGAGAGAGTAAGAGAGAGAAAGAAGATAGCAACTCAGAGACCCTCTGCTAGGGGGTAGGGGGAGAGTGCCATAAGTTTAGTGGGGCTTTTGTCATAAAATAAAGTTATGATGCCTGCCACAGCTGTTGCTCGTTGCACCCTTGTGGAAGAAGCACACAGACGCAGATACAAAGTGGAAATCGGATGCCGCTCGCCAGTAAGCGACACATTTTGTTGCCTCAAGAGGGGGCACGGCAGGGCGGGGCAGGGGTAACTCTTTTTTTAATTAAGCAAGATGTTGCGGCAACACATGTGCGTGTCAGAACGAAAGAAGAAGACAAAAAAGAGGCAGAAACAGCAACAGGCAACAGGCAACCCCTTCTGGAGATGGTGATCCCTGGGTGCCAAAGTCCATATCGTGAGTGCTTTTGATTTTTCATGGGAGCTGAGTCCGTGCCGTGCATGGCTGAGCAGCAAGCTACGGAAACTGGGACCAAAAGCAACCAAGATACAGTTTCAGTTGGAGAAAACAGTCATTGATATACGGTGTTTCTTTATAGAAAATGGATTAAAAGAATTCTTAGATTATATTGGGTATTAGAAGGAGATTCATCGGAGCTTGTTCTATGTGAATGCCCTGCACTCTACAGAAGGAGTTTTCAATATTTTGGGGAGAACAGTTACAGCTAAATATA